GTAAAGTCCCAAAGTTAAACTGTCTCTCTCTGCATTAATCTGACCAAATTGCTAGACATTCTTCAGGTAGATTATGTGTTGGGCAGAAATCCAATGGAGATGAGCTATCTTGTTGGGTATGGGAGCAAGTACCCTCAGTATGTGCACCACAGGGGATCTTCAATTCCAGCTGATGCACGTACCGGCTGCCAGGACGGGTTTAAGTGGCTGAACTCTTCCAATCCCAATCCAAATGTAGCTGTTGGTGCTCTAGTTGGAGGCCCCTTCCTGAATGAAACCTATATCGATAACCGGAACAATTCGATGCAAGGTGAACCAAGCACTTACAATAGTGCCCTCATTGTGGCCCTCCTCTCAGGCTTAGTTACCAGTTCTTCGGTTGCCAAGACTTTCTCATAGAAGAGCACTCCTGCTATATAATCGCTCTCATTTTTGTACAATATGTAGCCTGCAGGAAATCCATAGCTAAATAAACTACATGTAAAATGCCATGAAATAGCTGCTCCTATCAGTCTTTTTAAGTGTTTCAGGTAGAGATTGAGGTGCTTGATCTCATGCTGGTTTTAGCTAGGAACACCAGACTGGGATTTGCCCATTTCCCTGAAATGTAAATATGAGTTTTCAATGAAATCAAACTTGAAAGACTTTTCAATGAATTTCATCCCATAACCCATAATGCAACCCTTTCTTCATCTAAAATCAAATCAAACTTGACAGATACATGAACAGTGAAGAGCCTTTAAAGAGCGACAAAGAGTAACTTTAATCCCACATCAAGTCCTTTACCGCCCATGCTATCAATGTAAGCAATGGATTCTTCTTGCAACACACAACAAAGAACATTATGAATTTTACAACAATATTAACTCCATAGTTTTTTTTTTCAAATTAAAAAATAGGTGATGCAACACGAGGACCCATCCTACTCTCGCCCAAACTCATTAGCCCATTTTTTTAAAAACCTTTTTTGTTTGAGTTTCACTAATCTTTTTTTAATACAAAAATATATGAGGCCTCCCACTTGACTTGAGCTACAAATCACAACCTCAGAGTTAAATTCACTAATCTATTACATAATTTATTTATTTATTGGGTATTTTTTTCTTTTTTGAGCTTGTTGCTCAAAAGTGAAGGACCACTTAACCCAAGATAGTTACTTTAATAATTGAATTAAATCTTATTCATGATGTAAATTATGCTGGTCGGCCTATAAACATTTTTTCAGAAAATTCAGGTATTTATTTGTTTATTTGAAAATAGAAAAAGAAAGAACACAAAAGCAAAGGGTGGACAAAAATGAAAGTACACGGCTGCCCTTTCCCTCTCACATTCATTCTTGTTATTATTGCCATTTCTTACCCAAAGAAAAAAAAAAAAGGTGTGCTGGACGAAGACGAAGACGGCACCAGCACCAAACCTTCAGCTCCTGCACTCAAACCCCCTCAAAATCCCTTGCCTTTCCTCAATTCCAAAGGTTTGTTCTCATTTCTATCTCATTTTCTTTTTTCGGAGCTTTGGTTTGGCTTTGATCGTTCGTCTTTTCGTTCTCATTGCCGTGTTTCATCGTAGCTTTTATTTTGTTTTTGTAATTACGTCCCTGTATCAGTTCTGTTTGTCACTTTGTTTAAAGTTTAGGCTTTTTGTTAAGATCGGATTGTGCTTGTATGCGATTAGTCAGATGAACTATAAAGCCAAAATTGACGGAATTATCAACCCAATGTGATAATTAGGGTTTCATTTTTTCATTGTTACAAGATTCTGCTGTTAGATTATCATAATTTGAGTTTTGTACAGATATTAATTTCTTTATTTCCCCCTTCCATTTCTCAGAAGTTAAATTTTTTTTAACTGGAAATAGCCTTAGATTTATGATTCACACGTTGGATCTTCTTTAATTTGTGTTTTTTGAACTTATTTTGCATAGGCCTCATAGAGGCATAGTTGAGGGATGCATTTGAGTTAGTGGGCTGTTGTTTGGTCATCTGAGTTCATTTTTGAGTGATGCTGGTTAGTTAATAATATGATTTGTATAGCTTTTCAGGAAAATACAGAAAGTACCCAGGTGATAATCACCCATTTTTTGCCTCTTTTGATGAACTAAAAAATTTATTATCCATGTTAAAATTTATTTCCGAGGTTGTGGATATAGCTTTATTCAACTTTAAATCTCCTTTCCTGTCTCTAGCAACGTATTAGGATCTTTGCAGTAGAGTGTGTGTGTGCATATAACCAACATTGCTTGAAGTTCAACTCCGCATCATGCAGACATCCCAGCTCTTGTGCACTATAATGTGCAGCTTGGGTTTAAGATTTTTTTCCTGTTTTGAGTGGTGAATGTGTTTAATATGCTTAAGCATAGATTTGCTTGATTTGGGTGAATTTCTGCCGCTTTGACCTGAGAAGTATGCCTCATATTGCAAGATGGAAACTTGATATATGGCATGTGCTATTAAACTTACTCGTATATATTTTCTCCTGTTATAAGTCCTATTTGAGTTAGCAGGCACCTTGTTGCTTATAACTTTGTTTAACCTTCATAATGTGTTATTCCTTTGAAGGATCCAAAGGTGGTTATGCGTTTGATATTGAACTGGTCACTTTACAGTATATTTGAAAGTTTTCATTTTCATTTTGACAACTTTGAACAGGGGATGGCAGCAGAGGAAGATGTTGAGTTGTCAACGTTTAAGTCTCAGCTGAGCCAAACGCAGGAAATATGGAAGCAGGAGATGGAAGAGCGCCAATCCCAAGTGGATGTATTACAAAAAAAGCTTACGGAGGTAAAGGTTTGTATAGAGGGGTCTGAGGAAGATTCGAAAAAGGAACTAGAGGTTCTTTGGCGGAGAGTTAAAACTACCGCAACGCTGTTAACATACTTGAAATCAAAAGCAAGACTAATGGCTGTTCCTCATTTAGCGCATACATCTTGTGGCATCAAACAATTAGAAGGGGTGGGGCTTGTTGATAAAGATGGTACACCGTTGTCTGGTTGGTCTAGAAATGTTGATCTTTCTTCCTTTGATAGTCCAGATGAAGACACTTGGATTGGGATTAGTAAGCAACATGGTCCTCTGGATGAACAGGATGCAACTTATATTGGTGAACTACTTAAGTCTGTGCAGATGGTTACAGACGTAATGGAAGCTCTTGTCAAGAGAGTTGTACTGGCAGAATCCGAAACTGCAATTGAGAAGGAGAAGGTAACTGTCGGTGCGGAGGAACTTAAGAAAAAGTCAATCCAAATTGAGAATATGTCTTTGAAGTTAGAAGAGATGGAACGGTTTGCTCTAGGTACAAATGGTATTCTAACGGAAATGAAGCAGAGAGTTGAGGATTTGGTTGAAGAAACATATAGACAGCGGCAACGAGCTGCAGAAAATGAACAGGAGCTTTGTCGTGTGAAGCGGGACTTTGAGTCTCTAAAATCATATGTTAGCAGTCTCATCACCGTACGAGAAACACTGCTTTCATCAGAGAAGCAGTTCCAAACTATTGAAAAGCTGTTTGAGCGGTCAGTATGTTTTGTTCTGCACTCAACAGATATTCATTCTTCTCAATTATCAAGTGCTTGTTCTTCTATCATTTTGTTGGTTATGCCAGAATTTTTTGCTAGAATTTCTTTTCTGTTTCTTTACTAGGTTGAGGCCTCCCTTGTTTCACTGTTGCTTGCATCTAGTTGTCCTGGTAGTTATCACTGATTGAGTGCTTTTGCTGGGCACTGTATTGTTCAGTTCTTGCTGGGTGACTTATCAAGCATGAAACTACCAAGCACTGATTTAGAAATTGTTCGTTTGATCTATTTAGGTGCTGTAGGTGCTGAGTTTTCAAATTCTTTTAATTGCTTTGGTCATACAATTGATTGGTCTTCCGGAAGTTGGAATTTCTGGAGCTATTTTGCAGATAATAAAATGGGTTTTTAGTCTGGTATTGTTAGATCATTTGGTCAAGAAGGTAGCTTTAGCTTCTGCACACGGGCACACTCGTGCACTTGCATGTGTTGTTCTTATGTTTTTCAGCAGCAGCAGTCATATGTTTATGCCTGTGCAGTAATCTGATGCCATCTCATCCCTTTCTACATCCATATACCCTAGATGGAAATGTTTTGTTGTTTTATCATCTGATGTTGCTTTGAAACAGGCTAGTCGCAAAAACAACACAGTTAGAGGGTGAGAAAATCCAGAAAGAGACAGAAGTTCAGAAACTTATGGAAGAAAATGTGAAGCTGAGTGCTCTTCTTGACAAGAAAGAGGCCCAACTTCTGGCCATGAATGAACAATGCAAGGTGATGGCTTTGAGTGCTTCGAACATCTAATCTGTTATGCTCGCCTGCCCGGTGGTTGGTGTCCGGTGGCTTGCTTTGCAACACTGTTTGGATCAATCCCGCCCGTCCGTCAACATACCAGAAAGAAAACTAGGAATGAGCGACTCTGGATAGCAATCTTTGTCTGAGACCCTTTCTTTCGATTGTAACATTGTGAAGAGCCCTCTTGAACTCATGATCTAGTTGTGCATTTATGCTGTTGTTTAACCGAACGCAGAAAATCGTACATGAATTGGAATGCAAATCTCATTTGTTAATCATCTGAATATGTTCCACCAATGCTGCCGGATGATATTTTAACTAGAAATATTTTATATCAAGCATGGTACTTGGCTAAGAATTCGAGTATTGAGCAAGGGGCGTGTAGCACAAGTGGTTACGAGAAATTACTTCAGCATTCATTCTGTATTTAAATCGTCTCTTTTCAATTTTCTTTGTATCAAAAAATAAAAACATTCGAGTATTGAGGGTCATGGTAGGCTGGCTGACTATTGAATTTTGTCATGGTAGGCTTAGGCTATATGGAATTGAATGGTAGCCCATTGGGCTTTTTTTTACCGAGTAGAAACAAATGTTATCCTCTTTATTTTTTTTTACTAATAATAATTTTTTGTTGTTGTCATAATACTAATAATAAATGTTATCCTTTTATTTAGACGTCATCCAATACAACAACAACAAAAAAACATTTTGGTCAAAAAATTTGTATTTTCGCATGGAAAAAACAAAAGAGCTCGAAATCCCGCTGAAAATACCAAACCAAAAACAAATGAACTAAAACCCTAACCCCCTTTATACCTCAAATTTCCCCTTTCTGATACCCAATTTGTGCCATACGAATTCGCAAAATCAAAACCCTTTTGTGCTTTGTGCGTTCAACTCTGTGTTTTCATTGCTCTGTTTGAATTGACAAAGACGGAAGCTTGAATTTTGGTCACAATGTCAATCAGAAAAGTAGGTGAAACTCAGCCTCAGCCTGAGGAGGGTGGTTCTGCACAAACGTCACAGCCAATCCGCATTTCCAAGTCTGCTGAAGATAGCGACAAGAAGGTAGTGCATTCTTGTGCTGTTCGTGGGCTAAATTTTTTTGGGTTTCTAAGAATGTGAACTATGAGGCTGAAAATTTTGAATTTTTCACTTTGTCGTCTATAAAATCTATCCTTTTCCTGTTAGTTTCTGCAGTTATGTGTTTCTAAGTTAATTGAATTTGAGGAAGCAACGAGCTAACGTTAAAATATTTAAGCATTTGTTGGTTCCATATATTTGAATTCCATGTTTAGGTCTGACATTTCGTACTCCTTATGCCAATTTGTAGCACCCTTTATTATATTAGATGATATGAGGTTTGTACTGTGGGGCTATAAGACCCGGAAAATTTGTTTAGCTGTAATCAATGCCCATCTCCTTTTATTTTTTCAATAAACATTTATGATGCTTTTTTATTTGGATTTTCATAGGGGACAAACAGGAGACTTAAGGATGTCGAGATTTGTGTACCAATAGTGTATGGGACAATCGCATTCTATCTTGGTAGGAAGGCCAGTGAGTAAGTATTCATTTGCTTGGGTCCTGTTGTATGCGTTTTGCTTTTTGTAGATTATTTGATCATTTTCCTGTACTGTTTTCTGTTATTTAGGTCTCAGTCCCATAAGTGGACGGTTTATGTTCGTGGGGCAACAAACGAAGACCTTGGGGTGGTGGTAAAGCGAGTTATATTTCAATTGCATCCTAGTTTCAATAACCCTATGAGAGTGGTTGATTCACCGCCATTTGAATTAACAGAATGTGGTTGGGGTGAATTTGAAATTTCCATCAGTCTGTTCTTCCACAGTGATGTCTGTGAGAGACAGTTGGACTTGTGAGTTGCATATTGTGATATTGATTTCATCTGCTTGAAAAGGCCCACAAGGCAGATCAATAATTACTGGAGCTCATATCATCTGCAGGTTTCACCCTTTGAAGTTATATACTGAAGACGAATCTGGGCCCCAGTCAACCAAGAAACCTGTTGTTATGGAATCTTACAATGAATTAGTTTTCCCTGATCCTTCAGAAGCCTTTGTTGCTCGTGTGCAGAACCATCCAGCAGTTGTAGTGCCCCGTTTGCCTGCTGGTTTTAACTTGCCTAATCCTGGTAAATTTCTTGCTTTGCTGGTTTTTCAACTCCTGCTTCTTACATTCCTTTGGTTTTAAACTTCATATGTTGACTTCTACAGAATCGATTGATCACGTGAATGAAAAGGGACGAGGGGACACAAAAGATCATCCCCTTAGTCAGTGGTTCTTGAATTTTTCAGAGCCTGATGAGCTCTTAAAACTTGCAGCGGCTCGTCAGGAGGTTAGAATTGGTTGCTATCTCCTTTTCTTTTTGAACTAATCAATGTGGCTTCGGCTCCATTTGTACTGCGTTTATGCCTTGTAAAATACTACTAGTTTGGAACTAACATATTCTTAACTTATTACCTCCCCACCCCCCTTTTCACCTGTTAAGAATGAAAACACTCGTTTGTTTTATTTTATTTTAATTTGTTAACATAAGAGCTTATATGATCATGCTTATTGGTGTCATGTTAGGGCACTGCTGTCTAGGGTTACTCACTAGAGATTACATGCTATTACTAGCTTCAATGTTGGGCTGATCCTTCTGATCTGCTTCTCTTCCTTTATATTGTATATGTATCCTGGCTAGGTCACTCCATTGTGGTCAAGTCTTGCTGGTTGTCTTATGTGCCCTGCGCTTTCTTGAATGCATCTGATTGAGTTTTATCTTCTAACTTGTTGTTTTATTTATGGCTTGGTGTCACTAGTAGCTTGCCATGTTGCAAGTACTGTTGTCCTTGTCAATTCTTGTGACTTGTTTTGCTCTTTCTCGTAACTTGTGGTCAAGTTTGACAAGTTAATACCAGGTTATTGAAGGATGCCTTATGTGTCCTGCACTATCTTGAATGCTTCTGATTAAGTTTTATCTTGTAACTTACAACTTTTGTTATGGGCGTGGGTATCATGTGTAGCTATGCCTGATTGCATGTGCTGTTGTCCATATCAGTTCTTGTTGTTTTGGTCTTTCTTTTACGCCTGTTTGACTGGTCTAACTTATTGACATTTTCTTCAACTTGATAGGTGCAAGCCCACATTGTTAACGTGAGAAGAAAACTGAGTATGTTGGATGGAGTGCCCCAGCTGTCCAAACCACCCTCTGGATACGAATATACATGATCAGGGTAGATTATCCTTCAAGTTTCCTCAGCAGTGTAGATCACGGAAGGCCTAAGAACGATTATTGATGTAAACATGTGTATTGTCGCAGTTGTGGGAATCTCCATTTCGTTTAAATCTCTCTTTTGGAGCTAACGGAAGTGAAGTGTAGGAACAACATTGGATTGTACCCAGCTTATCATCAGGCAAGAATTAGAAGTTTATGTGCATGGACGTCTATGAATGTAAAAACATGTATGAATGTTCTTATGCATATGTATGTGCAGTTGTGTGTATATTTTGATTAATCCATTTCTGACGTTGAACTATCAGAAGCCACTTAAGATATGACTTAAATGAAAATGTACGATGCTCGGTTTTCACTGCTAGTGTAAGAGATCAAAGATAGATTCAACTGATCAAATGGATGACTCGAATTTGTTTTACCTAACTCAGATTTGGTCTTGTGCTGATCGGTTTTCACACAGCTTAATTTGTTCAAAAACTTGTGCTGATGCAGAGTAACGAATGTCATTACATTAATTGAGTGTTCGAAAGGACTTCTGAATGTAAATGCAGAGAGATGCATGCATGCCAACGCTGGAGAATTCTGACTTTTGATGCATTGATATGTAAATTAGATATCTTTCATCTCCGTACTCTAAGGTAAGTTAGATACCTAAGTTTATCTGAGATAGACTAGATTGGTAAGCTGAAATGTCAGCAACAGTTATGATGCCGTCATCAAATTCAAGCAGCCATCTGTATTTTGTCTCTATAAGGTTTCTTGAAGACAAAAGTAACATGGCCTTCACATGTTCATGAATTGATGTATAGGTTGAAAACATCTGCAACACAAGAGCCTTGTGTTGATTGGCAATCATGGCCCCTGCCTCAGTGACGATGATATGGCCTCTACTAACTTCAATTCAATTCTGACCTTCATATTCTCTATCCATATGTATTCATATCCACAACATGGGTAGCCGCATATATAGACATTACCACCGCTCTTTCTATTCAATCTCCATCGAGACTCTGACTTGTTTCGTTTGGTATTGGAATTTGGATCTCAATGAGTTTTCCCCAAAGGACAGAACTATTACCCCTCAATTCAGTTTCTCAATTCTATAATCCTCAAACTTTTAACGTTGTGTCACTTTAGTCGTTCTGTCAGAGTATGTCATTTTCTTCTCTTGTTTCATCCAAAAGTGCATTGTGTGACTTCAATTTGGGACGAAATAGGAGAAGAAAGCAGTTGATAGGTTGGCGCAGTACATACAACCTGGGTGGACATTTTTACCCTAATTTTTGAGAGAAAAACGAACGGACTTTGATTGAAGGACCAAAGTGACACAAAATTAAAAGTTGGATAGCACTATAGAATTCTAAAACTTTATTCAAAGACCAAAGTGAGAATTGAGTAATTGAGGAACTAAATATTAAAGTTGGTTCATGATGTCATGATATGAATTTTGTGACTTTGTATGTATGTATGTAGGAATTCAGGACAATCATTTGGAATGGGAAAGAAAACAAAAAAGTGAAGTTGCAGGAAGACAGATGGGCATGCTGACCTTGAAGCTCTGAGGATGGCTTCTTGAGAGCCTTAGAACATGGCTTAATAAATTCTCCCAAAAAAGTGAGTCAGGTTAGAGATATACCAGTGTAAGTTGAAACTGGTGGTGCTCATTTGAAGAGGAATATATGTCCTCACATACCAGCTTCCTTTGTATATATCTGTATGGCCTGGTTTTTGTTTTTATCAAAATCCCACATGGGCAGTCTTGAATGGTGAGACATTTCCGGAACTAATTGCAGCACAAGGAACTCAAGTTGAACATGTGCACCCTACTATTATCTGTCATGGATTTTCATGTAAGAATTCATATCTACAAAAGTTGATAATGTTTGAAGAATTTAACTTTATTTTATTTTATTTAAAAAAATTATGGTTCTGAATGAGTTTCAGTGCCAGAAGGCAGCAAGCAACACCAAAAGATGCGAGCAGTTTGCTCCCCATTTTGGCGGCCTTGGGCAACTGGGCTGACATTGGGAGGGTCTTAAGGGAGGACTGCCCTTTAGCTGTTGGGCAATATAGAAGTTTGGTATGTTTCTATTTATGTGAGTTTGTGTACATGACAAACAAGCATAGAAAAAAAGGTGAGACAAAAAATGTTAGCATTTTGGTCCCCTAAGGAGAGATGCAGTTAGTTAGGGAACTGGATTTTTAACCATGGCTTGTAGCCCTTACACCCATTTGTGGGGGGCAATTTTGCCCGTAAACCATTTAAATATTCATTCCATTGAAGTAGGGTTGTTCGGACGTAATGAAAATAGTAAGTATATGGCAAACTGTAAAATCAGGGGCAAGCCGAACTCCGAACGGGGATTAATCCCACCCTTCGGATGTGGGGACACCTCGTGGTATTTACAAAAAAATCAGACGTTTTAACTTTGAATATTTATTTATGTAAAGACATATCCACATGACGAGTAATTTTTGAGTGTTCCCGGTACACCACGTGGTTGGTGTACCATCCAATAGACGGAAGACATATGGAATATGTCCAATGCAATCCGCCACATGTCATAAGAAGAAATGCAGTAAGTTGGATAATAATTCCACATGTTCTATGTTTATTGGATGGTACACCAAACACGTGGTGTACCTGTAACATTTAAAAATTTCTCCCACATGACACATGTACTTAGCGGGTAGTTGCTTGTAACCTTTATCAAGATAAATCAAAGTGGGTTGTGGAGATTTTCTTCTTTAGCCAAGAAAATATATAGAAAGTGAATGCTGCATTATTTGGACCACCTTTCACAAAAAGGCTTCTATTGCACTTGCCATCCAAAATCTGTTCCGTTCCTGCCAGATTTTATGTTGGTTTTAGGTAGCTGGGATTGTTTTCCCTTTTATTCTTAAGAGTTGTGATCCATAAGTAACTTAGGTTAAAGCATTAGATGTGATGTGTATCTATTTAGCATTTGAATTATTATTATCCAAATTAAATATTTAGTTGCTTATAATTCTATCTTTACAGATCATAATTTTAACTTTTTTTATATTGGTTTTATTGTTTTTGTGATTATAAATGGAATGTCTATGCCAGAGTTTATTTGATCATGTGTGATCGTTAATAGAGGCGCACCAGATTGTCTTAATTTTGATGTTAGATTGCTCCGTTATTGTAATGGCCCTTTGTGGCTAGTTTGTATTGACCTTTTGTGACTAGTGGGTTTTTTGTTGTTGTTGCTGAATTATGAATGCAATCCTAGAATTTCTATAATAAAAAAAGAAAAAGAATGGTTGCCCATTCATTAATTAAATAAAATACAAAGTTGCATTCTTTTTTGACCAAAAATTGGACGGTACGTACGTACCCAAAAGTTTACCAAACAAAAACAGATGGCAATTTCTTTAGCTGGTGGGATGCAATGGTGTGACAATGAAATGTAAAGTTTACTTTTATACATCACCTCCTTTTTTGAATCATTAGAAAAATACTGGATATGTCGAGGAAATTGAACTTTATTTATGAAAGGGCTCTTTCCTTAACCTTTAATCAGGTTATTATAATGCTAATCTCTTTGAATTTAGGACTAATTTGTAATGGATGGAACACTATTTTTCTGTATCTTTTAAAAGTTGATCGTGTTTGTATTTTCCTAATTGCTGATTAATATGATATTATAAAATATTAGAAGTATAATTTGGACTCATTTGCGCCACACAGCAATAATATAAATACGCATTCTTGTCTTCATCAATAATTTTGAAGACACATTCTAATTGCGGTTAACGGGTTGAAAGGGATAACACAGTTTGAGAGGGACAGAGCCATCCATCCTGAAAGACATCATAGATTTTTCTTCGCCCAGGGCACTGTGCTTGACAGCAAAATTGGAACAAATTAATTCATTCTCGAATTTTCCGAACCTCATATACTTGCAACGGGGTACATACGCAACGTACCTCTTTCTCTTTGTCTCTCCCCTCATCTATGGTGATACGTGACAACCCTATTGCATGTAAGTTTCATTTTCTTTACAAATGTGAGTCGTGTCTTTATTAGAGATATACGATATACATGATGATTAGATAAGACGGTATGTATAACAAAATACACGTACGAGTAAGATAGAAAGTAGTACAAAGAGAGAGAAAGAGAGTGGGGGCCCATGGTGTACAATTAGAGGGAAGCAAGGGTAGGCCAAGCCCCAATGGGGTTTGCTAGCTAACTGCGTGCCCTTGAACACTATTTTCCCCTAATGACTTGTGGGTTGTTCTTAGCCCCCACATCTCACATGGCTTTGCTTTCTCTCAAACCAATTCCCTCATTCCCACTATCTCCATATAAATACCTCTCCACCCCTCCAATCTCCACACCAGATCATCACACACTTCTCTCATCTCTCTCTCTCTCTCTCTCTCTCAACCAAGTAAAACTATATTCAAAGCTAGCAAGCAAGCAAATTTAACACAAGTTTACAAAGCACTTCACCCAAAACACAGAGAACATGGCAATCAGCAAGAAGTCAAACAAGCTTACTCAAACAGCAGCTCTCAAGCAGATTCTGAAAAGATGCTCAAGTTTTGGGAAGAAAAATGGTTACAACAATGAAGGTGGTCTTCCTGAAGATGTGCCAAAGGGGCATTTTGCTGTGTATGTTGGTGAAAACAGAAGCAGATACATTATCCCAATTTCATGGTTGGGCCATCCAGAGTTTCAAACTCTGCTCCAAAGGGCAGAGGAGGAGTTTGGGTTTAACCATGACATGGGCTTGACTATTCCTTGCGAAGAAGTCGTTTTTCGCTCTCTGATGCATCAAATATATTGATTTCATTGATTGATCATGAAGAAAGGAGGGCTTATTGTTTTTGGTGTCTGCAGCAAATATTTGCAAGAGAGATGAAGCTAATTGCTTGGCTGGCTACCTGCTTCATTCATTCTTAGACGTCCTTGATTAATTTGTATTATAATTGGTGGCTCTGACCTTAATTTATTAACTTTTTTTAGTGATTATTGTTTATTGATGCATATGATCATGTAAGCAGTTTTTCTTCAGTGGTGGTTACACTCAAATCAAAGAATTCAAGGGAGCTCCTCACTGGCTCTCCCTTTTCCAATCTCTCTCTCTCTCTCTCTCTCTCTCTCTCTCTCTCTCTCTCTCTCTCTCTCTCTCTCTCTCTCTCTCTCTCTCTCTCTCTCTCTCTCTCTCTCTCTCTCTCTCTCTCTCTCTCTCTCTCTCTCTCTCTCTCTCTCTCTCTCTCTCTCTCTCTCTCTCTCTCTCTCTCTCTCTCTCTCTCTCTCTCTCTCTCTCTCTCTCTCTCTCTCTCTCTCTCTCTCTCTCTCTCTCTCTCTCTCTCTCTCTCTCTCTCTCTCTCTCTCTCTCTCTCTCTCTCTCTCTCTCTCTCTCTCTCTCTCTCTCTCTCTCTCTCTCTCTCTCTCTCTCTCTCTCTCTCTCTCTCTCTCTCTCTCTCTCTCTCTCTCTCTCTCTCTCTCTCTCTCTCTCTCTCTCTCTCTCTCTCTCTCTCTCTCTCTCTCTCTCTCTCTCTCTCTCTCTCTCTCTCTCTCTCTCTCTCTCTCTCTCTCTCTCTCTCTCTCTCTCTCTCTCTCTCTCTCTCTCTCTCTCTCTCTCTCTCTCTCTCTCTCTCTCTCTCTCTCTCTCTCTCTCTCTCTCTCTCTCTCTCTCTCTCTTGTTTTTATTTATTAATTTATTTAGACACCTTAATTTGCATTAAGATGAAGATGAAAAGATGGAGGACAAGCAAATCCATGATGAAGGTTGACTGGTTTTATGGCTTAGTTTATACAGTGGTTAGCATGATATATATAAAAGGAAAAGATGGACTATATTGGTCAAGATTACTATTCAATCTTCTATTCCCTATTCTTAATTAATTCATTTCAAACTTGCAAGTCCAATTTGAGAAATCGTTTTAGTTGTCTTGGTTTAATTAAAATAAAACCTCAATAAGGAGAAGGGTTTTGTAACATACCCTGGGTAGAAAATCATTGTTCTTCCTCCCCTCTCCCCTCCTCTCTTCCTCCTCTCTTTTGTTTGCAAATAAAAGGGGGGAAAACAATATTGTTTTTACATGTATTTCCAGTAAAGGGGAAGAGAAGCTATATAACTTTTCTCAGCAAATTTCAACCCAAATAGTTCTATTAATAAACTGATATATAATTATCATAATAAGGCAAAAACTTAATCGTAATGGTATGCAAAAACCCAACTCTTTCACAATCCTGGAGATTGAAGTTGTTGGAGTTGGAGTTAGGGTTTCTACTAATTAAGGCTGTGTAAAAGTTATGCATATGTGAAGATAGAGAATAATTTTATATACCGCTATGGAACTTTCTAGAGATGCAATTCTTCCATGATGGTAACTCTGGATTGTAGGCGGTGACATATGACAGCCATATGATTGCAAGGCTATCCATAATTTCTACGACTATTTGCATCATTTTCATGCATGAAAAGTAGTTTGAATGAGAAGCTCATTTGGATAGTCTAGAATTACTTATGGGGAGAAGCACACCTCTCACTTGTTTTTTTTCTATGAAACCTCCCACGTGTTTTTTTATATAATCACTTACTCTAATTGATTGTAAGAGATTTTGAGGAGAAGCACATCCCACGTATATTCTATATGTTAATTTCAAGTGATTCGTTTTCATCTAATTTCCAAATGTATTGCATATGTGTTCATTAATTACAATTTTTACTAATTGTAATTAGTTTATACTAATAACCACAAGGTTCGCACTAAACAAAAATCCTTGTTTTAGTGCATGCCTCGGCAACGTTTTTAAACAAAGCTTTGCACTTATGTGCTAGTCCTAGTTGGAGACACCCACCACACGACATAATCTATATAATATTATTTGGTTTTTTCTTGACAATATCGTACAATCTTCAAGTACCTACTTCATATAATTTGTGGAAGTGACTTATTTAAACAAATCCATTCTCTTCTAACTTTTCTTATTATAGATAATAGACCCTAACCCCCAAGTGCCAACCACAGACAAGTGTTGCTCCACAGAGTCTTCTTCAAAAGCCATGGAAAAAGATATTGATTAAGAAACCAATTAATTATATATACGTAGAGTCCAAAGCCGCATAAAGATTGCAAGAAGAAGTAGTTATTCAAACCAAATACCTAACCAGTTTTTAATGGTTTCCTGCCACCATGCATTTGGGTCCACGATATTAGAGATGTATTCCACCAGTTTTTAGCCTCTGATCTTTATTAGTGACGCCATATGGCTTAATTGGACTCCATTTTTGTACGTTTGAGAGGCACATGCAAGTGGGTCTCGTTGTCCACTTTGGCTGGTCTTGGTGATTATGAGATTCTTAATCACGCTTTAGTCACTAGATCCCGCCGGCCGTTAATCACACGTACCCGGTTACAATCAAATCATGCGATCTTAATTAATCAAATGATGATGATGGATGGATTATTGATTGTTCTATGTGTCGTATAATACGGCCATGCACAGTCCATGCACAATTTGGAGGGTACAAATTCCTTTTCATTCCCTTAATCTCCAAGATTCCAACTAATTGCGTTTCCATTCGTATAAGCTTTATTTTGGAGAAAGGGATTGGAAACTACCTAACCTTGTGACGAAGGAGACAAAGCTCACATGAGAATGTTGTGATCAACGAAAGAGGCCATAATCTTTCACATCATCTTTTTCTTCAAATTAAAACATCCCTAAAAGATTTACTCCTTAATCAATCGCATCGAGTTTTCCATCCATGTCAATCAGCATTACATACGTACTTTAATGCACAAAAACATTTTTTTTGCACCCTGCCATTGCCGTAATGAATCACAAAAAATCTTAATCAGAGCATTATCCACACCAAATTAGGGTTCCTATAAAGATAATAAAAATGAAAAAAAATTAACGGTACTGAATTTAACACATAGGGTTTGTCATTAGTCCAAATGGGGTTTGCGATATTTTTTTACATATTCAATTGTAGCACAGATCATGAGTGGATTAATTGGGTGAGGAGATATTCTTGCATTTAACCTTCCGATCACTGGATTATTTTGTGCCCCCACCCCACCCCACCAACACAAGAGAATTGAAAAATGGCAAGAAAGAAGCCAACATTTTAGATTTTTACCAACAAAACATTTAAGGCTTGAAGAATATGAAGAACTAACATCCCAACACACATGGGTGAAGAAAGCTGAATTTGCATGGAAGATATTAGTCAGCTTGTGAAGCTTTTCTGGTACAAGTCTCTTTCGTCGACCTTGTGCATAATAAAAATGCTCTGAATCTGAGTTGGGGCTCTCCCACATAACTTTGGTTAGTTTGGATGCAAGAACAGATTGTGTTGAGAAGTGGGTCGGCTGAGATTACCTTGTAGGGTAGACATGTTGGGTTCATAAGCACCAAGAGTGAGAACTAAACCTGCATATACTCTTTAGTTCACATGTTTTTTCTTCTATTTATCTGAATTTGGGGTTTAATTTTGAGTGCCACACAACTCCCACAAACCAATTTTGTATCTTCACAAGTGGCCAAATGAGGTGAAGGAAATATCAAGAATGTCTCCTAGCCCACACATGTTACTTCGGGACACAAACCCTAGCTAGTCTTGTTATTAACATTTTCATTTTCATTTTTCTTTAATTCGATACAAGCGATATTGGGGGAGAGAAGAATCGAACTCATGATCTCGAGTGCAGGGATAATTGCTTTTAACCACTTGAACTATAAGCCCCTTACAAATTTTCATTTTCTTTAATGTTGTGTTTTAAAGTTTCATGAAAACTTAATTATTGTTAAGCACTTTCTTTCTTGGGTGCCATTCCAATAAGTTCTCTTTTGTAAAAGTTGGATGGGATGAATAATTTAGGGGATGATAGTAACATTACTTTAAAATAACGATCTGAACATTCAAAATAAAATAAACTATGAGAATGCATGAATAATTATCAGCATATACCACTTACAATTCTTCTTTTGATCTTTGTTTTTAGCATTTACCAATCATCTGAAAAGTTCTACTTTGGGCCTAGAGTTAAAGAATCAGGTTTAGGTTTTATTAAACGATCTACCGTTTTATGGGCCATTCCTTTATGAATGGTTCGTTAATTGTGCAGATAGAGTGCGAAGAGAAGTTAGGAGCACAGAAACAAACATAACCAGAACAAAAACACTTTCTCTCAAATAAAAAAATACTTTCATTAATCTTGAAAAATTGCCCGAGTCATTGGAAAAACTACCTACCTACCCTGTGTCTCGAGGTCTCAAATTTACCCAAAGCTGTGCACAAAACTTGTGTAGAAAAAGAAATGTAAAGATGGGCCAAATTTGCAGGATTTTAGCTCCATTATTCACATCCTTGCAGTATTAAACCCAGTTAGTTTCATTCTCTTGGCACTATGGGCCTCCATGATGCTGCCAGTCGGCCATTCGCATGAGATATCATGCTGGAAAGTGCAATTAACTCCATTACGGCATCCCCTAGAGCTTTTAAAGTACAAGCAAGGTTTACGATTCTTGCAAGGTTTCGTTTCCCCTTGTTTAAAGTTTTGAACCATTTTCAAGTCTGTCAAGTGATTATGATTGTTACCATTTTGTGCAATAAATGGGTCCTGGATTTCTACTCCATGTTGCATAATGAGGTTCTTAAAGTAGTTCACATCCTTCACATGTCCGGCTTCGTTGGCTGGGAATGGCGGTAAAGGAGCTCTGTTTGGCTGATTCATTGCACTTGAAGGGAATCGCGGTAATGGAGGTCTGTTCGGTTGAGTCATTGCACTTAAAGGGGGTTGTGCTTGGTTTTGATTTGGCAGGCTAGGCAACATAAATAAGTTGGATTTGGGGCTGGGCAAAGGAGGCGGTGGTGTTGGTCGATTCAACCCGGATAGTTGAACGTTATTTGGCTGAGGAGGGATTGTATTCAAAGCAGTTCCCACTGTACCTGGCATAGGGCAGAAGTTTCCACCTGCAGCAGTCCTTTGCATATCAGATTTTGGATGAGATGAGGGAATTGATGGAACTAATGTCTTTGGCCTGGGTGCAAGTCCTGCATTGGC